GTCACAGGGTTACACCTTCAGCCTTGGCTCCAGCTCTGTTTCGTGGTGGTCTACCCGCTTGTCCTCTGTTCTCGGCTCCAGCTGTGAGGCTGAGATCTACGCAGGGGCCATGGCTGCACAGGAGCTACGCTGGCTCACCTACCTGCTGACTGACCTAGGAGAGCCGCCTCGTTCTCCTCCAGCCCTGTACGTAGACAACAAGGCCATGCTGGCCTTGTGTCGGGAGCACAGACTGGAGCACAGAACGAAGCACATTGCTCTCCGCTACTTCCTGGCTCGTGAGCTGCAGTAGCTTGGTCAGTTCTGCCTCACCTGCGTGGCCTCTGAGGCCAACACTGCTGATATCTTCACCAAGGCCCTTCCGCCTTGTGATCATCAGCGCTTCGGTACTGTGCTAGGTCTTGTGCCTACCTGGCCTCACTTGCTCACTTCTTGATCTTGTTTGTACTGTATTCTTTCTATACCTGCCCTTGCTTGTTTTACCTTCATATATATGACCTTGCATGTGAATTGGCCTTGTGGCGTTACTGTTGTGCTCGGACTGTGTGGTGACTTTGTGATCCACCATGAGCTTGCTTTGCTTGACTGGTCTTGTGACCACTTGTTCTCCCCCACTTTGCTTATGGGGGTGTGTCAAAACATTATAGCTTATACATTTGTGTAGGCTGTAGTGGGGTAGCCCATAAGGGGTACAACCGAATTAGGGTTAGTACTTGTACCCAACTGTTTCATAGTCCACTAATTCCATTCTCACTTCTCGTCAATCAACCCCGAGCGATCCTTCGCTAAGTCCCATTTGGGATTGTAATTCATATGATGCTGATCGAGTTTCCAAACTTCAGCTCAAACAAATGGCGTTGCAAGCATATGCAAATGCGTCGCTCAAAACATTGCGACGTGCAAGTCTCATTCATATCCAGTGCCAAATTCGGATTGTGAAGTGTTGGAAACCCGAATTGAGTATAACGAATACTGTATACCAGTGTGCTGTTCGGTTTTAGGGTAGTCCTCATTATAAGCTTCCAGGTCCTTTAATAATCGTCACAATTATTATAGGGCCACAATTATTGGAGCCTAGCATTATTGGGGGGTAGATGGTACAATTATTGGTACACCATTATTGGTGTAAATGGGTCAGTCTAGAGGGGTAGCTGTATGCATGTATACCCTGCTGTGTCACTTCTTCATCATCATTGTGTTATCATTATACAATTCAATGATCAATGCGAGATTTCTATCTTGTTTGTACAAACACGTTTCCGCTACGCTGGCACTATGACTTTCTAGCATGGTATCAGAGCTACTCTAGGGGGCATGCTGCCAAAACTGGTTCAGGAATTTACAAGCATTCATTTGGGATAGGTACATGCATACAGACAGAGTACCGCTCACCCGATTTACGCTTTTGTACACCTGGTGTTCGCTGCTGCGTACAACCGCGTGTTCAACGCACACTTGGTGAACGGATTGATATAGTTCATGGCGCACTTTGATGGCGAACTGGAGCCTGGATATGCGGCTTTTGAAGAAGCTATCATGGCTCAGCATGAGCTCCTGGAAAACATGCTTGCAAGGGCACCACCAACACATCGAGCTTCGTTAAGGAACAAGTTTGGAATGACAATCCAGCCAAGGACAACGTTCTCTTATGAGTCCAGCAACCCGTCCACTCGTGTGCACTCTCATTCAAGCACTCCACCTACTAACCAAACTCATGCAAATATTTATGCAGGAATTGATGGTGAAGGGGAAATGGGCATACCTCAAGGAGGAGAGTCATCTCAAGGGAGGGATGCATCCGTCCAAGGTGAGGAGAGCACCAATCCCACACCTCAACCATCCATGCAAAGGGAAGCACGGGGGAGGGATGATCAATATGGGACTGCAGTGCATGGTGGAATGAAAAGTGGACAGATTGGGCTGCAGGGTGATGGAAATGGTCAAGTGGGCGTGGAAGGTGTGGGTTTTGCCTCCTATACTATTGGTGCTCCCTCACTACGACGACTTGCGACTAACTCTCATCCCATTGGAGTTCCTCCCATGGCCAGATCTCACATTCATGGCGGCTATGACATACCTTCGTGTGCACCACGTCCACCGATAGGAGTACATCATGTGGACAGCATGGGACGAATGGGATACAAAATGCAGTCAAGCGGCGTCATGCGACGTGATCAAGTGGAAGTGCTGGAACGTCAACTTGGTGGACGGAATGAGGACATGCAGCGCACGGTTCAGGTACCTTGACCTTCAACTGTACCTACTCTCTTTGACCCTGCTCCAAGTGAATACACGGAAGAAGACAAGGAACGGCTGTCCCACAAAATGGTGGGAGAAACGGTGGACAAGGCGTTCACCACTACTCCGTTTGATGGCTCAAACTTCTGGGAGTGGGCACTACGGTTTCGTATGAATGCTCGCGTCACGAATCTGTGGGAGTTCTCTGTGACCGTGCAGTATCCAGTTACCATTGGAGATGGTGACATTGACGACGCTATGGGGCGGCTTGAAATGCTACAGGCGGATTACTCACAGTGTGCGGCACTCGCTTTTTGGGTCCTACTGCACAGCGTGAGTGCCACAATGCAGCTGCATCTGGACATGTTTCAAGAATCCCACAGCCCGGCATATGAAGCATGGGAGGATTTAATGGATACTTACCATGCCAAGGATTCGGTGGCGAAGGTCGCTCTCTTGAAACAGTTGGACAACCTAAAAATGGGGAACTAGAAAAGGGTGGAGGAGTACGTCAACCGCGTAACAACGATTCGGAAAAAGTTGGCACTAGCGGGAAAGATGGTTGATGAAGACACATTCACATTGAACATGCTCACCGGACTACCGGCACATCGAGAAAGATGGTTGATGAGGCACTCGGCAATGCTACACGATATGATGGACATCTTCACCTTGCAGTGGATGATGATTCAGGAGCAGAGATATCACAACCTCATCACAAAGGATAACCGTGACCGGCGTCCACCTCGCATGGTTGGACAAGCACGTGGAGACCGCTCACCTTCTCCAACTGCTAAGGGCAATAGCGGGAAGAAGGAGGGGTCCGTCGGAAAGAAAACACATGGCAGGGATGGAGATGCAAGTCGCTCATATCTCGTGTGTTGGTACTGCAAGGAGCAAGGGCACCCCTTCTTCAAGTGTACCAAGGCATCCCCTAGCTGGTCACCACCAGGATGGAAACCGCATACCAGCGGAAGGACAAAACTGCACACCAACAATTGCCATTCGTTCTCTCCACAAAGGAGTCGCGGCCCCAAGCGTGACAACAATGTGTCAAGACAGCAAGGGCACCCCTTCTTCAAGTGTACCAAGGCACCCCCTGGCTGGTCACCACCAGGATGGAAACCGCATACTAGCGGAAGGACAAAACTGCACGCCAACAACTGCCGTCCGTTCTCTCCACAAAGGAGTCGCGGCCCCAAGCGTGACAACAATGCGTCAAGACAGCAAGGGACAGTCAGGGAAGACAAGCAACGTAATGTTACATGCATTGCAACGGTGGGATCGACACAAGCTACCTTACCACTAGCTAAAGCGTCATTTTGGATGCTGGACAGTAGATGCAGCTAGCACATGACCTCGGACAAGCGCTGGTTTGAAGAGTTAAGGGAGCTGGACGTGCCTGTTTATGTGGAGCTCGCTGATGGGAGTGAGCTGAGCAGCATGATGATGGGAACGATCAGAGCAAGAGCACCTGATGAGACAACAGTTTGCTACACTGAAGTCCTCTTCCATCAGCCCATGATCCTAGTCAGCCCCGGGATGGAGGGAATTCACCTTTTTGCACACCTGGAGTGCACTTGGATACACACGGGAGCGCGCTTTCCCGTACACCTGGAGTGCAATTGAGCGCGCGTTCTGCCCACGCATCTGTTTAGTACCGCATGGCACACAAAGCCTGCATCGTGCAGAGCCCGGCCCATGATGTTGACACGGATGAAGTCTCATCCAACGGTGTGGTGTGGACTTTATGGGGAGAAGGACAGAGGTTTGTAGTGGATTCGATTCCTGCATTCTCTATCAACGGGAGTTGTGTGTTGGCCCCGTCCTTGCTTGGGCGGAGCCGACTTCGTGGTCGGGTGTGAGGGGAGAAGCTGACCTGCAGCAGTGGTTGACGAGGAGGTCGACTTGCACGGGGGCCACTGCACGGGCGCCGACTTCAGGGAGGTCGACCTGGGAAGTTGACCTGCGGAGGACGTCAACTTGGTGACGCCAACTTGGGGCAGCCAACTTAGGTGGTTGGTTGACTGGCCTGCTGGTCGACCTGGTGGTTAGTGGACCAGGTGTGATGTCAACCTGGTGGTCGACAAAGGAGGGGCCGACGTCGACCATAACTCAGGACGCTGAACAGTTAGGCGTCGAGTAGCAGGGCGTCAACTTGGTGACGCCGACTTTGGGTAGTCGACTTGAGTGGTCGGCGACAACTACGCTGGTCAACATGGAGCTAGTCGATCAGGAGTGCTGGTCGACGTGGAGCTGGTCGACCAGGAATGACGTTGACCTGGAGCTGGTCCACCAAAGGTGTGGTCAACTTGGTGAGGTTGACATGGGGTGGTTGTTGACTTGGGAGGTCGACGAGCACATACAGGGGCAGCTGGTCAACGTGGTTGCTCGGTCGACCAGGTTACTTGGGTGACGAGGTTCTGTAGAGGAGTCCGACGGTCACCCAGGTGAAGTTTGTCACAATAGATTTATATGTATTTTGTATAATCTGCCTGTAGTGTAGCTGTTGTGTAATTCCCTTGTATGGTGGTACACCTCTTTCATCTTTGTTAGGTTGCTATATGTACTCGCGTGCTATAGTGAACCTCTAACCATTCTCAATTCTCCTTGGCACAAACTACTCGACACCCGTTTGGCCTAGGCTACTAAGCCTAGGCCCCTTAGTTAAACCCGTACTCTAGTTAACTTAGTATTGTAACATGGTATCGAGCTACTAAGATCCTACACCTAAGTCAATGGGCCCACCACCATCTGTTGCTATGGCGCGCCCCGTCGATCGGGCCGTTGTGCAACCCGTTACGTGCATCGCTGGCCCCACCCGTCCCTCGCCCGTCGTCCCACCGGCTCGCTGTCCCGCTGCTGCTGCGCTAGCGACGACGACCTACGCGAGGGCGCTCGTCGCGCCCTACCGTTACGGCCCCAATTCACCCGCGGACCCGCCAGCAAGAGAGCCAGCGGATCCGCGGACCCATCAGCAAGCTAGCCTGCGGACCCGCTGACGGACCCGCCAGCACACGCATCAGCAAGCCTGCCGACGGACCCGCCGACGAACCCGCCGACGGACCCGCCAGCGAGCTCGCCATCGGACCCGCGAGCCCGCCAGCAAGCGAGCCAGCCGACCCGCCAATGCGTGCATCAGCAAACCCGCCGACGGACCCGCCGTCGGTTCCGCCAGCGCACGAGTCAGCCCGCCGACGAACCCGCCAGCATGCCTGTCGCCGACGCGCTACCCGCAACTGCATCCCGCCGCCCGCGCGATATCTGCTGCTGCAGCCCGTCGCCCGTCCCGTCGCACTGCCGCCCGTCGCCAGATCCCCGCCACCCGTACGCTCTCCGCTGCCCGTCGCCAGGTCCCTGCCCGCCCTTCCGTCGACTTCGCAACTGCTGTGAAGGGAATGGCGGGAGAAGCTACTGCTATGCCCTTGCACGCGCCAGATCGTCCGCGACTCGCACCCCACACCCCGCCCGTCGCCCGTACTCCACCCGCACCCCGCCCGCCGCCCGTACGCCATCCGCACCACGCACGACGTCCGTGCCCCCGTCCGCGAGACCCGTCCGCACCCCGTACGTGCACCCAAACCGCCGTTCTGCCCCAGATCCCGCCCCCCCCCACCGACAACTGCCGCCCCACCCCCATCTCCGGCTCCGTTTCTAGTGGGAAGGGGAGGAGGTGTGGCCCGAAGGGGACGGCTGGGGAAGGGGGAGGGGCGGGGTTGGCGGCTCATGTAAGGGGGAGGTTGAGGGGGTGGGTGATCCATCTGCAGCTACTGCCGCCACACCTCCCCCTCTCTCTCTCCGCCACTGTTGGATCAGGGGGTGTGGGTGGGTGAGTCTAGCTGCAGCACCAGCCACCCCCTCCTCCTCTTTCTCACTCTTGCATCTGCTGCTGTTGGGGGGGAGGTTGAGGGGGTGGGTGATTCAGCTGCAGCATCTACCGCCACTACACCTCCACCTCTCTTTCTCCGTCAATGGTGCTGTGGGGGGAAAGGTTCAGGGGGTGTGGGTGGTGAGAGTTCATATGCAGCATCAGCCGCCTCCTCCTCTCATACCCTGCCCTGTTCCTCCCATATTGCCCGTAATTCCCCGTGCTTGCCCCGTGCGCGTGCCCGTGCTGTCTGCCCCGAGCTCCCCGTGCTTACCCCGTGCCCATGCCCGTGCTGTCCGCTCGTGTTCCACGTGCCCGTGCTGTCCGTACCCGGTTGTGCCCCACCCGTTTCACCCATGCTGTCCGTACCCGGTTGTGCCCCACCCGTTTCACCCGTGCGTCCCGTGCTTCCCATGCTGCCCCCATGCCCCTGTGCTGCCCCTGTGCTCCCGTGCTGCCCCCCGTGTTCCCGTGCTGTCCCCGTGTTCCCGTGCTGTTCCCGTGTTCCCATGCTGCCCCCGTGTTCCCATGCTGCCCCCGTGCTGCCCCGTTCTGCCTGTGTCGTGTCCGTTTCGGTGCCGTGTTGCCCCATTCAGCCCTTGTCCTGCCCCGTTCTGCCTGTGCTGCCCCGTTGTCCCCGTGTTGCCCCGTTCTGCCCGTGTTGCCCCGTTCAGCCCGTGTCCTGCCCCGCTCTGCCCGTGTTGCCCCGTTCTGCCCGTGTTGCCCCGTTCAGCCCGTGTCCTGCCCCGTTCAGCCCGTGTCCTGCCCCGTTCAGCCCGTGTCCTGCCCCGCTCTGCCCGTGTTGCCCCGTTCAGCCCATGTCATGCCCCGTTCTGCCCGTGCTGCCCCGTTCTGCTTGTTTGTGCCCTACCCGTGCTGTCCGTACCCGTTCGTGCCCCACCCGTGCTGTCAGTTCTCGCTCGTGCCCCACCCGGTCTGTGCTGCCCGGTCTCGTGCTGCCCATCACCCCTGTACGGCCCGTCCCGTACAGCACCTAGTTGCTACCCGAACCCGCTACCCGTACCCGTGCTCCTCGCACACCGTGCACCAGCTGCGGGGCATTCAACCGCAGCCCGGCAGCTGTTCCACCGCGGTGGTTCAGATGCTGCTTGGTGGTTGCTGCTTGTCACCTTCAGAGGGGGCCCCTTGCTGGTGTTCCCACGCCTTGTAATGGGGTTTTACAGGTGTACCCCTTCAAGGGGGGCTCTGCACATGGTTATGCACTTCAGGCAGATAGGGGGTGTGTCACAATAGATTTATATCTATTTAGCATAATCTGCCTGTAGTGTAGCTGTTGTGTAATTCCCTTGTATGGTGGTGCACCTCTTTCATCTTTGTTAGGTTGCTATAGGTACTCGTGTGCTATAGTGAACCTTTAACCATTCTCAGTTCTCCTTGGCACAAACTACTCAACACCCGTTTGGCCTAGGCTACTAAGCCTAGGCCCCTCAGTTAAACCCGTACTCTAGTTAACTTAGTATTGTAACAAAGTTGGTGAGTCTGACCTCGGTGGTGGTATCCCGAGGTCGACGTGGCTGATCAAATGCAGTCGTCAGCGCCAGGTTGACTTGGTGTGTGCGTTGTGCAGGTGGTAAGGCTTTGCGCGCCAATCACTTGCGAGCACCTGCGAAGCTGGTGCGATGTTGTATTGCGGGAGCAACGCTGGCACGCCGTCAAGCCAAAGCGTCGGCACGCCGTCGACTTTGCACTGCTGGAGCGCGGTCGACCAAGTCGTGCTGGAACGCGGTCGACCATGCTGCGCTGGCAATCGACCTGCTTGCATGCTAGCTCTGATGTAGTCTTGTCTTGCCAACCTGATTGTACCGTTGTTGTCCACTTTCTCTAGTGAAACTCTTGCCAACTTGCCCCGTGAACTAGCAAGCAGTGTGTGCACTAGGAAAACGACCAAGGACCAACGAACGCAGAGATCACATGAGCACCCGTGCCTAGCCCATAGTATAGCTCCTGTTGTAGTAGTTATCTCCGCATTCTCGACCATTGAAGGTCATGAAGGCAAAGGAGCAGAATATGCAAAACAAGACTTTCTTAGAGCTGATGCAGCTGATGAAGTCAGTGTAGTCGAAGGAAGCAAAGGTACAGCTAATAGCGTACCTATGACTGATGTCTCCATTCCAAAAGGAGTGGAAAATGATGATGTGGGAAATGAGGTGGACATGCCTAGCGGGCAGCATCTCACTTGCCAACTACTGAATGGTCTGCTGAACCGCAATTAGGTCAAGGATTCTGGAGTTATACTCACATGTGCGGCCTCCTCGAGTTGTGCTGCACAGCATGGCATCACCTAACTCCACACTCGCTCACGTGCTTGTAGCTGTGCATGACTACAAGCACATGGGTGGGGTGTGGAGTGTATCTAGTGTCACTGGAGTGGGACATGGAGTCAAGAAGCATAAGGGGAATACCTACTCACCAAGGGTTGCCAATAGGCAGGGGCGTGGGCAGGAAGGATGCAGCCGGTCGCCATCTCTCATCCTTGGATGCAGCGGTATCGTGCGACTGGTTGCTGCTGATGAACGGCACCACCTGAGGGAAGGATGGAGAACATACATGGGAGTAAACATTACTGCATACCTTGGTGTGCACAAGACTGCATACGTGGTGTGCATTGCGTACTTGGAGTGGGAATTTCTGCATACATGAAGTGCAGTGTTCGGCATACTTGGAGTGCGTTGACATGCGCAACCCTCCACCCGATGGAGTTCTGCAACTCTTGATGCTACCGCACGCCAGCTGAAGTGCAAGGGGAGCATCACAAGGCAACATCGATAAAGTTTGAGCAAAACTTGGCATCATTGCCAAAGACGTGGACAACCTTGTGCCATTATAGCACGAGGCACGAGGAGAAGGCAAGATTTACGGAGAAAGGTAGGGAGACAGGCATGGAGTGAAAGGCAGGGGGAGAACCCCACGAAGGTGCAGTAAGTGCGGACTGGAAAATGTTGCAGCAGACGCGCACCAGGTCGTCAACTGCTGATGAATGCCAGGTCGTCGCTTCCATCGCGCGAAGTGTGCGTCTGCCGATGCAGTTCTGCGCCAGCCGCATGCCATACGTTGTCCGCTACCGCTTCGAGTCATCTGCAACTGCAATTGTCGCAGAAACGCATCCGCTACGGTTTCGCGTCGTCGCACAGGAGGCATGCAAAAAAGACAGCAGCACTGGCAATCGCGTATCTTAAAGTCTATGGTTTCGGAAATTTGGCGTGCTCTAAGGGCATTCCGCCATGACGATACGCGCATTCTGCCATGGTTTCGCCATGGAGGTGCTACGATTTCCTCAGCAGAAGCCACTACTCTCTAGAACTCGATCTAGAATGTCAAGATTGGAAGGAGGGATTGGAAAACGTATTGAAGGTGGTTTGGTTGGAGTTTGGAAGGCCCAAAGGTTGGGAGGGGAAAGGTGCTACACTGACAAGCAGTTTGGCCAACACCAAACCCTAGCTTGGTTTGGGCGCACCCCTACCTTGTGGTGGTACACCACCTCGACCACCCTATCCTCCAAGGAAAACGGATTCACTAAAACCTACAGCAAGGGGGAGTGTTGGAAATCCGAATACAGTAAAACGAATACTGTATACCAGTGTGCTGTTCAGTTTAGTGCAGTCCTCATTATAAGCTTCCAGGTCCTACAATAATTGTCGCAATTATTGTAGGGCCACAATTATTGGAGCCTAGCATTATTGGAGGGTAGATGGTACAATTATTGGTACACCATTATTGGTGTGAATGGGTCATTCTGGAAGGGTAGCTGGATGCATTTATACCTTGCTGTGTCACTTCTTCATCATCATTGCGTTATCATTCTACAATTCAATTATCAATCCAAGATTTCTATCTTATTTCTACAAACACGTTTCCGCTACGCTGGCACTATGCCTTTCTAGCATGAAGCATGTGTGGAGAAAAGAAAACAGGAATGAAATGACTAAGGAAAGATTGGGTACAAATACAACCCTAGAAACCCTGTACCCCATATATGCTACCCCACTATAGCCTACAGAAACTATGTCATAAAAATCTGACACACCCCCATAGGCAAAGTGGGGGAGAACAAGGGGTCACAAGACCAGTCAAGCAAAGCAAAGCAAGCTCAGGGTGGATCACAAAGTCACCACACAGTCCGAGCACAAGAGTAGGGCCAGAGGCCAGTTCACATGCAGGAGTACAGACATATATATAAAACTAGACAAACAAGAGCAGGCATATATATATATGTCACAGTACAAGTGAAGTCAAGAGGAGAGCAAGTGAGGCAAGACAGGCACAAGACCCAGCTGGGTGCAAAAGCGCTGATGGTCACAAGGCGCGAGTGCCTTGGTGAACACATCAGCAGTGTTGGCCTCAGAGGCCACGTACGCAAGTCGCAACTGACCACGCTGCTGCAGCTCACGAGCAAGGAAGTAGCGGAGAGCAATGTGCTTCGTTCTGTGCTCCAAGCGCTGCTCTCGACACAAGGCCAGCATAGCCTTGTTGTCTACGTACAGCACTGGAGGAGAACGAGGCGGCTCTCCAAGGTCAGTCAGCAGGTAGGTGAGCCAGCGAAGCTCCTGTGCAGCCATGGCCCCGGCGTAGATCTCAGCCTCACAACTGGAGCCGAGAACCGAAGACGAGCGAGTAGACCGCCACGAGACAGAGCCGGAACCAAGGCTGAAGGTGTAACCCTGTGACGACCGCTGCGTAGCCTGGTCGTCAGCCCAAGAAGCGTCCGCGTGGCCGGTAAGGACCACTGGACTCCGCCCTCCAAGCACAAGCCCCATGCCCGACGTACTGCACAGGTAGCGCAATACCCTCTTCGCTGCAGCCATGTGCTCCGGTCTGTGTCTCCCAGGAGCAACATAGCGTGCAAGAATGCTCAGAGGGTATGCAAGGTCAGGTCGTGTGCAGGTCATCAGGTACATGAGGCAGCCAACAAGCTCTGCATACGGACCACTCGGCTCTACGGACTCATCCGAAGGCAGAGCTGAGAGTGAGTGGCGAGTAGGCAGAGGAGTGGCCTGAGGCGAGGAGTACGTGAAGCCGAAGCGCTGAAGGACCTGCTGCACCATGTGTGACTGAGTCAAGGTAATGGTGCGGCGTGCTCTGTCCCGAGTGATCTGCAAGCCAAGGTAGCTGCGCAGTTCACCCAGGTCTGTGCACGTGTGTCTCTTCAGCAGCTCGGACTTCACGTAGGCGAGTCCAGCAGTGTCCGCTGTGGCAAAGACCAAGTCGTCGACGTACACGAGGATGTAGAACGGCGGCAGGGAAGTGTCGGTGCGAAGAAACAGCGACGGGTCAGCAGTAGAAGGAGCAAACCCAAGAGCCGCAAGCGTAGTCCTCAGTGTGTCGTGCCACTCACGCGGTGCCTGGCGGAGACCGTAGACTGGCCGTCGGAGGCTCCACTGGGTGCCAGGAGGGAAAGTCCCAGTGAAGCCAGGTGGACGGCGAAGCCAGATCTCCTCGTGCAGGCTACCCTGCAAGAACGCAGTGCTGAAGTCGAGAGAGTGAAGCTCGTAGTCGCGCTGAGCGGCTATGTGCAGCAGCACCCGAAGAGTAGTCATCTTCGGGGTGGGAGAGAAGGTCTGAAAGTAGTCAACTCCCTGCCGGTGACTGAAGCCACGAGCAACGTACCGTGCCTTGAAGACAGGTGGAGAGCCCGGCGGCCGCTTCACCCTGAAGATCCACATGCCACTGACGATGTTCGCCCCAGGAGGGGGAACCGCGTCAACGTAGGTGCCTGTGGACTTCCAGGAAGCCATCTCTGCATCCATAGCTGCCTGCCACTGAGAGGAGTAGGGACCCTCTACGGCCTCCGCGTAAGAACGCGGAGTCGGGATGTCTAGTGCATCCGGGTCTCCCTCAGGGGCAAGCAGTACAGACGCGAGATGAGGTGAAGCAGCCGCTAGACACTGTAACTCCTCCTGCCTGTCCTCTAGGACGTCCGTGCCAAGAGCACACTCACCCCCGACGGACGGAGGACAGACAGACGCAGACTCAGCAACAA